ATTTAACCCAATTTAAATAATAGATATGGGGGGACAATGTATAATGTTAAGTTACCAGTAGAGTATGAAATATTAAAGATAACTAGTAATTTGGTGTATCAGTTAGCTAATCATAGAAAATCACACCAAAATGAGAAGCGGAGAGGAGACTGGAAGTGTGCTAACCAGTAGAACTTTTTGCAGTAATGGAAGTGTTGTACATTGTGTTGTCCAGTCTGGCAGCCGCTCGCCATGTGTAGCTGATGAATGCTTAAAATACAGCTCGTGTGACTGAAAAAAAATCAATTTTTAAATTTATTTAATTTTAATTTAAGTAGCCATATGTGTCTAGTGGCCACTGTATCAGACGGTACAGATTTAAACATCTACATGATCCATTAGAACTTTGTAAATTATGCATGAATTTAAATTAAGTGCTTTTAAACTATTTGTGTTAGTTTCCAGAACTTCCTCAGGAACTAAGACAAAAAATAAAACAGATGAAAATGTTTTTGGTAAATTCTATCTTATTTTCCTATTATTAGTTTTAGTTTCAGGAACCCACTGAAACATTATAGTGTAACAGTATGTATCCTATGGGAAAAACTCATTGAAACCAGTGAATAATTTGTAGCACGACTTTCATGACTGTTTGAATTTTTTTTTCCAGAAAATTATGCCAAATGAGCACCAAGTTTGAAAAGATTAGCCATTTTGCATTCAAATTTTCATCAGAGTGTTTCTTTTCTTCATTCATTCATTTGTTCAATAGTTTAAAGTTGGCCTTGAAAGTTTGAATTAAGGAGGAATACGAAAACTGTAGAACCAGATAAAATGTCAGTCCTTATGTGGAATAGATTGTGCATTATAGATTTATTAGAATATTTTAACATTTGATAACTGTTCCTTTTTTAAACTCCCAATATGAAATGTGCTTTTATTGATTTGCAAGGATATACCTCCTTACTGCATCTTCCTGCAGTGGGAGTTTGAACTGTGTTTTTAGTGGCTGTGATGGATTTACACAGAAGCACACCCCCTCCTAACTGGGCCCTGTTCAGTGTGAGCGAGGCACAGGGTGTGTGCGTGGTGGCTAGTGGTAAGTCCAGACTCCTAGGCTTCTGAGAAGAGTAAACTTACCACCTTAACCTTGAGTAAGTAAAAGAACAAAGAATAGATTTTGGTTACTTTGGGTACCTAGGCAGATCATTTAACTGAGGAACAACCTTGACTAGTTAAGTATTTTTATCATATTCTGATAGTACAACAGAATCTATGACTGTTCTAGAAATTAGCTAGGAAATCATACTTTGAGCTTATACTGATTTTTTTTTTACATTTTAATCATGTAGATCATGGTTTGTGGATTCAATAAATGTTAATTTAATAAATTGTTTTAAATAAAATTTGCCGGTTCATCTGTACTAAATCTCACTTTCCATCCTCACTAGAACTGAAAGACAGCAAGCAAATTTTATCTATTACAAAGAACTTCAAGGTTGAGAATATCGGACCGCTTCCTATAACTGTGACGTCTCTGAAAATTAATGGGTATAATTGCCAAGGTTATGGCTTCGAAGTGCTAGACTGTCATCAGTTTTCCTTGGACCCCAGCACATCCCGGGACATCAGCATTGTGTGAGCACTGGGCTGGAACCTCATTTAAGTTTGGGGATGCATTTAATATCTGGTGGGGAGAAACCCTTTTTCATTGGTAAGATGTCTTAAGTTGTTTTCATACAAGTATTTATCTTGTCAGTGTAAGAAATTTTGCTGCCATGATTATTTTGTTTCGTGCCTAAAATGTAAACAATGGAAGTTCGTAAAGATGGCTCTTCTGTTGTTAGGTTTACTCCAGACTTCACCTCTTCCTGGGTCATTCGTGAGCTGACTCTTGTGACGGCAGCAGACCTCGAGTTTCGTTTTACTCTCAACGTGACCCTCCCACATCACCTGCTGCCTCTGTGTGCGGACGTGGTTCCAGGGCCCAGCTGGGAGGAGTCGTTTTGGAGGCTCACGGTTTTCTTTGTCGGGTAAGCTACCACCTTCTCCACTGGAGAAGCCATCCCGGCGCGTTGCATGAAAATGGATATTGCCCAGATGTGAGCGAAGCATATGGGTTGAGTGGAGCTTAGGTTGCTTTGAGAACCCTGACATTCACGAAGTAGATGAAGTAGTTACTGATAAGCTTTAAGATAATAGTAAACTAATTGTAAGAGATTCACAGGGTGACCCAAGAGTATAGTGGACATTGTGTTCCGTCTGTGTTCAAGGGCAGTCACAGTGGAAGGTGTATATGTCGTATAACGTCTAAGATACATAAACATCGTATAAGATGCATGATGTCTTATTAGCTTAGGACAATGGCAGTTTGAGATTAGAAGACTAGAATGACCCTTTAAGATGTGATTTTATCCTAGAAGTGTCTTTAAAAATTGAATTAGAATGTTGGAGTTAATAGTCATATTATTAGAAACTTCGTTTTTTAAAAAAATCTTTAAGAAATGTCAGAAATTGTGATGTCATACATCTTATGGGATTTTCATACCGTATCTTTAGGCATTTCCCATCAACCATTCACCACTCTCCTGTAAAGCTGGTGTTTTTAACGCCAGTCAGAACCAGGCAGTAATGGACCTCGTTGCTTTCTTCCTCAGTCTGTCCCTGTTGGGTGTCATTTTAATAGCCTTCCAACAAGCGCAGTACATTCTGATGGAGTTCATGAAAACGAGACAGAGGCAGAACGCCAGCTCCTCTTCACAGCAGAGCAGTGGTCCAGTGGATGTCATCGGCCCCCATTCCCAGAAGTAAGGAGGATTCTTGTAGCATGTGTGTGGGCGGGTCTCACCTTTGATATCACTCATTTCTGGTTTTTATTGTAAGGTAATATACATTTGGATTCCAAGTGTGTTTTTGCACAATTTTCTTTTAAGTCTTATGTGACCACTGTGATACTTCTTTTATGATAAGATAGACTTCACGTAAGTGTATCCAACTCTCCGAGCTTTAGAAGAACAGAATGAGTGGGGAGAGGGTGTAGCTCAGAGGTAGAGTGCTTACTTAGCATGCATGAGGTCCCGGGTTCAATCCCCGGTACCTCCATTAAAGTAAATAAGTAAATAAATAAACTTAATTACCTCCCCCACCAAAACAAGACAAAAAAACAAAAACATCCATGTTGCTACAAATAGCATTATTTTATGATTTTTTATGGCTG